GCATTTTTCCTTGCATTCCCAACACATAGGATTAACATTGGGGATTTCTTGAGGCAATGGGATTTTCTGTACCCAAATTTTTCTAAACTTAGTTCTTGGCAACCTGGGGGCATTTCACGCAGTGACCTTCAGTCAAACTGAAATGCCCCTTTTTGCTTCTTAACTGAAGTACAGGTTTCATTTGAGTTCAGTTGAACTCCCATCCATTATTGTATACAAAATTTTTTTTAAACAGTTCACAGTTTCCAACAGCATTTTCAATCAACGCGTGGAATGAAAAAACACAAACTGTGGAATTCGTGGCAATCACGTGATTTCAAAACGCATTGGAACAGGACTTGGCTGGACGCACTGACACAACCGCTTGGTTTTTTTTTAAAGAGGAAATGAAAATAAACCCGGCCTTCAGGCGAGGTCAAACTCATCATTCTTCCTGCTTATGTGATGGGAGTTCGAATTACTCTGGCGAAATTGAACCGCAGGCAGCCATGACACTTTTTTTTAAAGAGCCAGAATGCTCTTGGACTCTTCAGGGTTCCTCCAGCATGTTTTTTGCCTTTCTCCCTTGGTTGGTGGACTTATTAAACAGGCCAGATGACAGTTAATTGTCAAAAACTGTATATTAATATATTGCAGTATTTGTTGGGCAACCTGCGCCATGGGGATATTTCTGGGAATTAATGAAGGGATTTTGTGGGCAGAAACCCTGAAAGGTTTTCCTTCTCTACCTCTCAATATCAGAGAATCAATAGAAAATAATAAGTTCTTGTCATTGTTATTAGCAATTAAAGCAGCAGAAGATAAGTTATTCATTTTGCCGAGATGAAGGAAAAAAGATACAATTTTATTGATTATTTACATGTGTCTTTTATTTTCTTATGTTATTGGGGACAAATTGTCACTGCAATATAACTTGATGCTGAGTATTGCAATAAAACACAACAATCAGCCCTGGACAGGACCAGGAATTCCTTGTATGAATTCCTAAGTTAGCAAGCTAAATGTACCAGTATTTCACAAATGTACCAGAATCAATGAACAACTCAGCAAACTCTTCTCACAGCTTTAATAATTCGGTTAAAGAATAACTCCACTCAACAACAGATTGATGATTGATATGATTGAGTATGAGCTGCTTATATACTCAGAGATATTTAAACTTCATTGGTTTCTACTTTACATGACAGAAAAGACCTTTAATGAGTCAAGAATCTAGTCAAAGAATACAAAGATGCTTTGGTGCCAGGAAGTACCTGGTACTGCAATTTTTAGGAGGGGGAAGCTATTAATGATTTCCAGGAATTCATATTTAATAATTAATGCGCAAAATGCTTGCAACATATGTTGCACAGTCTTTCTTTCCTTTCTTTACTCTAATAAATGTAAAACTTCATCTAAGAGAATCCTGTTGAAAAAATTTTTTCACCACAGTATGAAGATACTTTCAAATCTGTATATAATGCACCAAGTACCAACTGATCAATTGAGTTCATCACTGGCAAATGTGGCATGGATCACTGATCATACCATGACATTTTTAAAATCTTTGTTGAAATCCATCATCTTCTTGGAGGCAAAATTAATCCAAAAAATTCTGCAAAATAATTAATTGATCCTTTTGAGGATGTCAAAAAAGGCTCATTTTTATTGGTTTGACTTCCTTTATTCACCCCAGCGCCTCTGGTGGCAAACTCAAGTTTTTTTTCAGTTGGTATATGACTGAAAAATGGAAAAGAATTTCAGAATGGATTGTATCAATATGTTTGACTTTTAATAATTCATGAATTTTGAAAAACAATCAGGATACCCAAAAAAATTGAAATGACAACTCAACTTTCACAGGGGATGATCAGCTAGTGCGTATCACTGCAACTCTTTTGCGTACGAAATCTTCTCAAATTTTCTACATTCACTGTTCATTTATTTTGCACACCCTGTACCTACATTTTCACATACAGTACAGTACATGAACTCGTCTGTGGTGTTGCGTTTATAATCTCTGGATTGATCAGATGCCACGCGTTGCAACCGGTTTTGCCACGCGTTTGACTCATGCTTTGTCAAAGGGCACAAGTTTGGAGGAAGAAGATTAAGATGCAATCCTGTTTTGGTATACAGAGGAAAAAAAAAACAAACAAGGAAGCCTATGAAAATCCACTCGAAACTTTTCCTACGCGAGGGAAAATCCGGAACAAAAGTTGATTGGAACAAGTTTTTGCTTCTGCAATCTCCAGCAAAAATCCGTTAGTTGATCTCAAATTTTCGCCGAAGAAAGTCGTGGAAGTTTTTGATGGTCGTGGGTTTTTGCCATTTAAACGATTGTATGATGTGCTGATGCATTTTAAAATATTATTGATATAATTCTTCAGACCCTCGGATTCAAGAATCTGAATTTTATTTGAAAATTTGAAACCACGTTCATCAGTTCTTTTTAGAAGCTGAAATTGCTGAGTCTGTCATTTAAATTCAGTTTCGCATGTGTAAAAACTTGACGTTTGAATCTCGAATAAAATCTTGCTTGTAATATCAAAAATAAAATTAAAGATTTTGAATGCGTCTTTTAAAAAAACGCATTTGTGCAAAAGAAGAGGTGTTCTGAGTTCTTCTTCAACTATCAAGTCTTATAACAATTTTTGAAATAATTGTCGGAATTTTAATGAAACCCTTCTATTTTGCTTTGAAATATGCAAGATTAAACCGTGAAATAAAAGAGCTGGAGAGAAATTTGATTCACTTTAATGTGAAACAAAATGCCATAAGTGTGTTTTGCAATGGAAAATTTCAGATCGAATTTACTGAATATTTTTCATCTGATTTCAATGAAATTCATGTCCAAGATAATAATATGACTCAAGACGAGTAACTTGAAAAATAAATATGCTCAATATAAATGAAGAGGAATGCTTTTTTTTAGCATTGAAGTTCTCAAATGTCTTTTTCCTTCATTTATGTCAGATCATACATCAAAGCTACACGTTTATTTTTGGAAAAATGTGAGTTGGGGATATGTTCTTTTTTTGTGAATGTATGCAGATTCTTTATATATTCCTGAGAATTTGGCTTTGGCATCCAAATCTGAGAAATCATTGATTTTGAAAATTCTTTTACAGTTAGGTCAAATGTGAAGCAAGAACTGGGAAAAAAGTGATGGTGAAATTCGCGTCATTTCGTGACCAAGTGGATTTTTGAAAAAATCCAGCTATTGCAAAAAATTCCGCTCAGTGATGAAATTACTTGAAGAAAATGTAAGAATTACAATTTTTAAATATAGAAAGACAATTTAAAATTTCATGGTTATTTTTCAATTTTGGAGAAAAAGGATTTAATCTCATCACTTATTTTTAGCTTTGTTGATCACAATTATGAAATCATTTTTGACAATAAGAGAAATTCAGTTGCATTGTTTCAAACGATTTCTGTTATTTCTCGAAAGTATCTTCTCTTATTTTTCAATGACGAAAATTAACTTTCCATAGATACTGTACATGAATCATTTGAATTCTTCGTAAAATTGCTTCCATCCTCGTGATTTTCTTCCAGGGGAAATTTCGTCACGCCATCTGACGCAATCCTGTTGGTGAGTTCAAAAATTTCCATCATATTTTTGGTTTTATTATTGTTCCGTACGCGATTTCCTTGCTGTCAATTTTCGCGAGAATCCAATTGACATTTTTATGTATTGCCCTATCATGAAAATTCTGCAAAAATTTCCAATCGCAACTCCCATTTGAAAGGCGCGGAAAATCACTGTTCGTGCAGTCCGTTATCCGAAGCAGGATCCACAAAAAAAAATTAAAGCTAGTCCAGAGCTAAGTCTACAATTCGAGACTTGCGTTATCCGAGGTACCGCTTTAATTTTTAAATGGTATATTTTATTTATTTATGAGCAAAGTCAATAATGTGACAAGTCCGTTATCCGAGGTACATCTTCAATTTGTAAATATCTTTATGTGCACATGGGATATTTTATTCATTAACTGAGGGTGGGGAAAAAATGAAAAATCAATCGGTGCATAAAAAAATTAAATACAGTATTTCAAATTTTTTTCTATAAAAAAAATTTGAATTTTGCTGTTTAAAAATAAAAAAGACAGTGACATGTAAAATTCGTCATGAAACTGTCGCTCATTTCCCCCAAAAATAAATACCAAGGTCGTATAATTTTTGAATGCAAGGTCATCATGCGTCGGGAATTTCCGCAACAAGATCGTCGTCGGGAAGTTTTGACCTTGTATTTCGGGTCAGACTAGGGAACCAGTTCGTGTACCTATTCCTGGGGACTTATTTTTTGTGGGTTCCCTGAACTGGAAGGGATCGAAGGGGGTGAGGGTGGAAGAAGAGGGACGAAAATGGGGATCTGAGGACCAGGAACCCAAGGACACAGCAAAGAGTCCTTGGGAACTTTTTCATGACCTGGGAAAGTTTCATGTATAGCTGGTTTATTTTGGGGGGCTGAACTTCTGTCAGCCAAAGGGAATGGGTTGAAAATAAGATGACTTCTTTTTCCTTTAAAGAAAGCCCCCAGAATTTCATTTGAAAACATGTTTTTCTCTGATGTATTGCTGGGAGAGGTGTATAAAATTGAATTGGCTCCTTTGAGCAATTCAGAGGCTTTGTTTTTGTTACATTATTGAATAAATATCTTCCAAATTGAACAAATGCCCATTGAAATTACTGTGATGGATTCTGCTTCCTGTGGCGCCTGTCAAGGACCCAAGCCACGCAGCTCCAGCATCTGGCCAAAACCGGACCTAAATCTTGTTGGATTTCTGAGGCCAGTGAGCCTAGCAAAAATCCCGTTTTTGGGAGACTCACTGAGCCTCACTCAAGGACAAGAAGTGATTTTCCCTTCTTAGATTTTGCCTGAATTGGCCAATCCTGAGCCAGGAAGAAATCACCTGATTTCTTCCTGACCCAGTCCAAGCACCTGGGTATAAAAACCCTCATTCCTCTTTGAGAGGAGAAGTCAAGAAGTCATAACCTTTTTTCGAAAGGAAGCAATGGGACTCAAAGGACGGTGAGTACAATTTTAATACGCGTCGCACCGGGAGGGCTCAGGGCACACAAAATCCCGCGTGAATCGAACACGTAAAATTGAACACCGTAAGAAAGAAAACACCAGGGTAAGGCCTAAAAAGGCACCTGCTGGCCACCAGTTTGTCGGGTGGAAATTGACAAGGGGTAGAGTTAGGAAATGAAAGACAGATTCAGCCTTTACCGGCCGGATCCTCCAGAAGGGAGTCCCAAGAAGTTAGCTCCTTTAATACAAGCTCACAACACACTTCAGATTCAAAGCCTCGGACAGATTTTGCAAGACAAATAATAGCTCAGACAAAACAGACAACAACACAACAGAGGTCCACTCTGAATCGCTGCACAAACTCTTCTGTGGGCTTCGGAGCCCACGCCACGCTCTTCGAACCCTCCTCCTCCTTTCCTTGATCTCCGACCCGGTAGTCGGTGTTACGACATACCGGGCGCGTACCACGCCATACCCGTGTACGGCTATTGTCAACGTGCCCGAGTGTGTATGGCATGCTCGGGTCACGTGATCTCGGGAAACGCGGCGCCACACCTGGGTATAAAAACCCTCATTCCTCTTGGAGAGAAAAAGTCAAGCAGTCATAACCTAGTGTTAAAGGGCCCTTAACCTAAATTAAATTACCTCAATCATTATTCTGAGCTAACCAACCAACTTAATCATTGACTCTGCCATTATATTGAATTAACAGCCAATTGATGAACTAGGCAATGAGAATAAACTCCTCTGAAGAAGAGTTTGAGTTCTTATTCAAAACTTGCGTTCTGATGGCTGAACAATTCAATTCCTTTGTCTGGGATCCAATGGACCCATGACAGCGCCCTTCTGGTCAAAATTTATTCCCATACAGTTTTAAAATGAGTAAACACAGAATTGCTGTTGTAAAACAGTCTAAGATATTTATTATTGCACACAATTATTTTTGGAAATTTATTGTGAATATACAATAATATTTTTAAATTCAATTTGTCAAATGTGAAAAGTAAGCCCATTTATGAAGTGATTGCACAACAGGAAACAAAATGGATTATATATTATTTCATGGCATGGAAACCTCAGTTTTACATATTTTTTAATTAGAAAAGTAGTCATTTAATTTGCCACAAAATTTGATCAGGTTGAAAAAATGTGATGAGGTTTAAATTTGATTTTTCAAATCTTTTCTAAATTTTTTTTTCTCCATCATGGGCACAGAGTAAATTTAACATTTCCAATCCCAAAATTTTGGCATTTTCAAATAGCATTTTACAGATGGCCTACCATGTAAAGGTAGTCTACCATGTACACAGTAGTCTACCAGGTAGGGTTGAATTGCAAAGCAGTCAAATTGCAAGAAACTTTTTGAAATTCAAAAATATCAGTACAAAAATGCAAAAAGTGGCCAAAGCATGTCAAATTGTGGGGCCAGGATAAAATTGCAAGTCGACCTCCCTGCAAATTTAACTAGTGATTTGCAGGACGGTCAAATTGCAAAGTATCACATGTATTTTTTTGTGTACTGATGAGCACAATAAATTTGCAAGACAAATTGAGCCCTCAAATGAAGATTTGAAGTGTTAAAAACTACCTAAAAAAAGCCACTGGTGTAATTGGTTCCCTTTTTGTTTAGACAACCTGCATGTCAGCCATGTGCTGGCAAGACAGCTGGAGGCCATGACCTACTTTCCTAGCCCACCCCCCCCCCCTTCCCCAAAGTCTTCCTGTCTGAGTGTGGAGGCCATATGGCTGTTAACTGCTACCTCAATTCCCTCCCAACTGCATTTTTTGAAAATCATGCTTCCTTATACTTCCCTTCTGGAACCACCTTTGTTATTTTCTGGAATTGACTTCCTTGATGTGATGCTATATACTTTATGATGTTGAAGGTCTTTGGGGAAGTACTCACAGCAAGGTTGTCTGAATATCTTATCATGCCCATGTTGCTAATCTGATGGGAGCATTTCCTGTGAAGATTATGAAACTTCAAAAATAAAAGGCCACATATGGCAATGTATTGTATATCTTAGAAATTTATAAGCATACCACCATCAGGACCATCCAAAAAAATAAGCTACTTCATTTGAAAAGAATAAATGCCCATCCAAATGAATGAAGAACATTAAGGCTTGTGATGGGGAATTAACTGTACCATTTTGACCATTTCAGGTCTATCTTTATTGTGCGGAACAAATTAGTATAATATCAGGAGTTTATCTCATTCATTGAAAGGATAATACATCATAATAAAATAAAATAAAATTATTAATATCCTCCAATGTAAAGAAATCTCAAGTCAGTATTTCAGTTTTCTCAATGATAAAATATAATTTTCCTTGAAAGATTCTTGTTACTATTATCAAGATGAAATAATCATTGATTCACACCTTTTGTTAGTATATATATATATATGTATATAGAATGAAAACTCAGGTTCATTTGGTTAATTCTTTTCCAACTGCAAAGAATTATACTGGATCAACTTGATCAGCAGTTATATAATTGTATTGGGCTTTCCAGAAATGTTAAGCCCCTATTCCTCAAAAAATGATGGCCATCCTTTTTTTAAACTTATATTTGCATGATCCACTCACCAGCACACCCCTTACATGAATCTATTTTTAATTTTGGATTATCAAATGTTTTTAAAAATTCTAACCAGGTATAGTTATTCTGAAAAAGGAAAGAGGCATTTCTGCTTTTTCATGGAAGCAATTAGGACACAGGCCAAATTTACCACAAGTGTTTTTGTTAGCATCTGCTGGAAGAATTGGGTTGAGGCTGTTGTGAAGAGTTGAACCTGTCACCTTTCTGATGTGTTTCTTGTTGGAAGATGTCCAGAATTTCAAGAGGGTTGCATTGACATCATTTCTGAACTCAAAAAAGGAGCAAAAAGCAGAAAATAGGTTCAACATATCTTTCTCTTGAAAAAAAACAATGGCTTCCAAAGCTGCTTTGGAAGAATTTTAAGGAGAAACAGGTAACTGATATTTCTCAATGCATCAACCTTACGAAACATATTGCACTATAGATAAGATGCAGTATATACATACTGTACTAAATATATAGCACAATATAAAAATAGAATTTGAAGCCTGATCAGGATCCAATAAACTATGATAATGATGGATTACAACGTATACTGGCACTTCCTTAACCATTGCTTTTCCTCAAGGACTTTTCCTGATCCTTAAAATAAATTCAGGAAGAATAAACACTTCCTTCCACGTATATGCATCCAATCCAATATATAATAGCGCTTCTAATTGTTTTCATTCAAGGAAGGGTCCTGTGTTTTATTTATACTGCATTTTCTTTTTTTGGTGCTGCGGAAAAAAATGTCTTGTGACCCGAGTTTGTTGAATGGTGCCCATGAAACCATTCATTCCCATGGACTTCTGCCAAAGAACGTCATTTTTGGACTCCGGCCAAAAAGTAGTTTTCGGAATTATGACGCAATAAATTGTTTCACTATGTACTGATTGCTTCTCATTGATTGATCAAAGTCAAAATAAACAACATGAGCATTTTTACAACATGCCTCTTCCGTTTCAGTGTACAGAACATCAATACTGTTGATACTTTGGAAACCATGCATTCAATGTGAATCTGTGTTGCAAGCGACACCTGCTTTCAAATGTCTCAAACAGCGTGTACTTTTCTTTCTCTAGAAACTAGATGTCTCTCTCAAGTTCCACCTGCTCCGAGATTCGTCTCCATCAGGACAATGAAGTAGGTGAATGCCATGCTTATCAGCTGCAATGAAAAGATTCTGGTGATTTCTGCATGTATTAGATTTTGTGTACTGTACTTACATTAGTCATCAGTCTAGCATTGACAGAGATGACGTCACAGAGTTCTACCTCAGCTGGTCCGATCGTTGCAAATTGCCTCAGAAACTCTTTTTCCTGCATTCAAGTAAAATGAAAAAAAATCGGATTCAAAATGTATTGTAAGTGATATTCAATGCAGTTGCAACCTTTTTCGTTTTTGCACCATCAATCCCTTCTAGCTGCAAATTGTCATTGACAGCTTGAATGAAGACTTTATTCTGAAAAGATAAGTTCATATAAAGTGATTTTTCAAGCATTTTCTGAGAAAATGTTTTTTGAATTATGCAAACCTGATTGACTATCCTTTGCCCAGCTTGAGACACAGCAAAAGAAACAAAAACAATTGTAAGCATTTCAAATCCAACATTGAATTTAATTCTGTTGATGATACTTGGGGAACCAACAATGAGTAGTTGCAAATAACAAGTGAGGAAGATGGGGAACTTGATGAGGATGAGCAGCCAAGTTGGTCCATAAATATCCCCAAGGGCAAGCACTTGTTTCTGCACCTTTGGCCAGTGATCCACCATTTTGTCCATGTTCTGATGATTTACCTCTGCATTCAAGGTTGCCAAATGGTCTCCCAAGCACAACATCATCAGCCAGAACAAGTCTGGGAATGTGTGGATCCTCTCTCTGATAATTCTCATGGCGACTTATGATTCACAGTAGAAATGAATGTTTTCATCTGTGCTTAAACATGATAAGTAAAACCAGGTCTCTTCTGTCACCAATACTCTCAAAAGATTGGCTATTGTGATGCAAAATGAGATGATGGGAAAAATCATGGAGCATTCCCTCTTTCTGACAACTGGCAAAAAACTGGAGTCATTGGTCAGATGCTTCCTGAGTTTCCATGAAGAGTATATCATGCAAACCATAGACAAAATGGCATGTGCATGCACAAATATGGTGTAAGCTTTAAGCAAATCTCCACCAACAACATTCTTCCCCCATGGCATCATACTGAGTGTCATTGCCACCTTGATGAACTTGGAAAAAATCATGAAAAGCTTGACTGTGTTCATCAATATATAATACAGGAAAAACACATTTTCTTTCCCTTTCCACTCTTTGAATGGTTTGGCAAGGATTGAAGGCAAAGGCATTGATCCCTCCAGCACCAAAATATATGTGAAAGGTTTGAAATTGTCCAGAAAACTGAGTCTTTCTTGTACTTCATCAAGGGTTTCCAAACTGAGAAACTGTTTCACTCTGGTCTGCTCCATGTTTTGTGCAGTAAATGTTGCTCGTGTTCCACAAAGTCATCAGTTTGACCTGACTCCAATATTGGATTGCATCAGAACAATGTACAAGGTAATGACAAGCATGGTCATCTATTAGGAGATGATCAATGAAAAGCAGATCAATGAAGGCATATCCTGGCATATTTTAAGTATGACTCACAGTTGTCATAAGGGTGGCATTGATTGGACAGAACCCACCTATATTAATAATTGAGGATTCTCTTTCTCCAACAGAAACCAGGAACTTCAAATCCTGTCAAAAGAAACTGTTCTAAGCAAAATGTTTACTTCAGAAATTAAATATTAAAATTGCTACCTCAACCTGGAAGGTAGGATCAAGTGATGCCTTTTTTGCAGCAATGTGGATGAATTCTTCACTCTGAAACAATGCAAATATATCATGCAAAATTTTGATGGAAGATGCATGCTTGAAAATGACCTGATTGACCAGCAGTTGTCCACCAAAAGAAAATCCAATGATGAACAAAACCTTAATTGTGACAATAGCCACAGCCACACCAAAGGCTGTTGTAGACACACTTCCACTTGCAACACTCATCATTTGAATGTAATATGCCAAATTCAAAGGAACTTCCATGATGACCCACACAGTTGATGCTGAGAATATGCTAGTAACTTTTGCACTCTCATTTTTCAACAAGTGCCATTTCTGGTACAATATGCTTCTTTTCTGGAGATTTTTAGTCAGCTCAGTTGAAATTTGGTGAAATTGACCAGATATGGAGACAATAAGAAGAATGAATTGGTCTGGGTACCAAGTAACATTGGATGAAAGAGATGCCCAACAAAATTCTTCTATGAACATCATTGACAATTTACTCATTGACATTTTGTTAAACTCCACATTATAAAATGACCTGTAGAGACAAATAGTCACCAAAAAGACCTTAACCACAAGAATTCCATGAGCCATTCTCCTGTTGTAAGTTGGGAAGTGAATGCAGTCAATATTCATGTCTTTTCCATGATCTTGAAGTAGATACTTTCTCAGCTTCCAGGACCTGATGACTGTCATTAAAATAATCCCAAATAAATGTAAGCATTTGAATATGTTATATATGTCTAAGGCTTCTTTCCCAGTTTGTTTCTTGTCCTTGTGTTGCCCTCCATCATTTGTGAGGATAACAAAAGTAGCAACTTGCTTCAGAGCCAAAGCAGATTTTACAAAAAACAGAGCACAGAAGTACAAAAGCATGACTTTGTCTTTCCGGTTCCAATGTGGTGCTTTTTTTGACAGTAGTCCCATTGATGGTTGTGATCCCTCAATTATCAGACAATATATAATAGGCAAAAAGCCCTTTGAGTCATAAACTTGAATGTCTTTGTTTTGGATGTTGGATTTCCTTTGGATATCTTCTTCAACCCAAGCAATGGCTGTTTCTTTTTGTTTCCACAATGAAATCATAACTTCACTTTGTGTTATGTATTTGTACCTTTGTTATTCAAGCATCAAAATTCCAGTTGCTTTCTTGTAGTGCTTCAAGCTGCATCTACTAAGTTTTGGGTGATGTATTATCAAGGAAAGTAATGTATTTTGTTCATCAGTTAGGTTTTTCAATCATAAGGGGCATTGTTGTGAATCTTGATGCTCAGGATATGAAGAATGAATATTGACTTTTCCACAATGCCCATTATTTTTTCATCATGTTTCATACAGTTCAGTCAGATTTGACAAGTATCTGAAAACTTTCATTGACAACCTCCACCATTGACCAGCTTTTTGTGAAATAATTAATTAGATTCCATTAAATATTGAGGGCGGGGAGACTTGAATCATGAGAATGAAACTAACATGAACTTCTCAGCTGGATTATAATTTGCGCAGGTATTGCATTTTAGTATTCAACCGTTTTAAGTGATGGAATATTTTCTTTCTAAATTGCCATCAATCATGCTAGGTTTTTCTGTTTTGAGCCTGCCTCAAAGAAAATGTTCATTGATTTCTTTGCCACAGGTGTTGATAATATTTTCTTCATCACATTGTTGGAAAGATCAATAATGAAACATAATTTTTGATTGATTTGTAGAAACAGCACAACTTCCATTTTTCTGAGGAAAAACCTTATTTTGGTCCGGGAAAAACAATTTTTGGTGCACCTGCATTTCTCACATACATATTCAAAACAATGAAGATTCTATAGTTTCTAAAAAATAGCATGTACAGATTTCAATTTTAAGTGATTCAAAATTTAATGTGAAGAAAGTCTGCACTGAGTCAGCTATCTAGCATTTTTTCATATAGAATTTTGACATATAGAGACAAGTTTTATCAGATTCAAAAGTAAAATCTGAATATTTCAGTTTTTATATTGCTGTGCTCCTTGCATTTGATCCCTGAGTCTGAATTCAGGAATCTTCATCATGACCTCACACCAATGTTTGATTGCATGAGGACAATGTAGTAAGTGATGACAACTGAAGTTATCTGTTGGAAATTCATTGAGAGTTACTCAAGAAGAAATGTATGTATATTTATTCAATTTTCCTCACAGTTGTCAGAAGACTGGCATTGATTGAACATAGTCCTCCAACATTGATCATTGGTGCTGTCCTTGCTTCAACAGTGGCAAGATATTTCAGATCCTATTTCAAATGAAAAATGTTTCATTCCAGTTGAAGTCATAATAATCAATTCTTACCTCTTCTTGATACACTGGATCAAGTGCTGCTTGTCTCACAACAATTCTGACAAATTCTTCACTCTGCAAGTAAAAGTATAGTTTTTCGAGTTTCAATTTCATTTTTATAAATATGCAAACAATCATATATGACCTCATGTGTGAGCCTTTGTCCAGCATGAGCAATTGCAAAAATGAGTAAAATGTGTGTCAAGACAGAAATAACATCTGTAATGATGTGTTTTTCTGTCAGTCCTTCCCTGTATACACTCATCATTTGACAGTAATATGCCAGAATGATGGGGACTTCCAGCAGGTTCCATAAAATAGTTGCTGAGAATATCTTTGTGATTTTTGCACATTCATTTTTTAACAAATTCCAACTCAGGAACAACTGGGATCTCTTCTCTGGACTTGAATTTTTCAGTTGTTGAGATATTTTATGGAATTGTCCAGAAATAGATGCTATGATCAAGAGGAAATGATCAGAAAGCCAAAGTGCAGTTGTCTGGGTCAGAACTAAAAATAGTCTCTTCACAGCATTTAAAACTGTTTCAAGCAGTGATTTTTGCTTGAAAATTGCCTCAATGTCATGTATTGAGAGGCAAATATTGACCATCACAAGCAATTTGCTCATCAATGCAACCAAAGAAAGTGTCCTGTTGTATGCAGGAAACTCCAACTTTTCAATGTCATGCTCTTCACCAACATTCACCAGATATTTCCTCAATTTCCAGGATGATAACATTGACAAAAATGTCATTACTAGTACATGGAATTTTGCAAATATCCCATATGCTATGAGTAGCTGGGCTCCAGTGTAAGAAGATATGGAAATAACTGAAATTGATCTTGAAAAGCTTAAAAGGTCCCAAATCCTAAAGACAACTTTCCCAGAGACCACAACCAACAAGTAAAACAACAGGGTTTTCTCTCTAAAGGTCCAGTTTTGTCTTGACTTTGTCAAAAGTCCAAATGATGGCAATGATCCTTGAATGACCAGAAAGGTAGTGAAAGGAAAAAATCCTCTTGAGTCATAAACATCCACACACTTTTCTGGACTTAATTGTCTTCCATCTTTGTTTGTGCTCCAGGCATTTGTCTTGGATGGAAACATTTTAAACTCACTTTAAAAATTGATGTTTCTTGGGTGACAGATTGTGTTAAAATGTGCACAGGGCAACCAACCATAACCGACCATCTAGAACCACAAAGGTATTCTTTACAGGGAATAAAATCAATGGGGAAACATTAAGAAAAAAGGTTATTGATGTTTTCCTGTCCCCTCATCATTGCATTATTATGGAAATCAGCTATCAAATAATGTCAGCAATTTGGACCTTCAGTTTTTGGCCAGCCATCAAACTGGAAACATGGAGTCACCTTTCTTGCAAAGTTTGAAACCTTTCACTTACATGCTGATGATTGAAGGATCCTTACCCACATTTGGAGTTTTAACAAAACCACTTGCCAAATGGAGTGTAAAAGATGTTCTTTTGATGGGTTATTACATCTTGATGAATTTGTTACAACTAATCTGCTCTGTCACAACTTTGTGGTTTTTATTCATGTCATTTGCTGATCCCTTTTGGGGCTACCTCAAAGGCAACAAAGTGGAAGGAATTGGGTTGCAAAAGTTGTATATTGCTTTTGTTCGACTCAACCAGGCATGTTGCCAATTTTCAATCATGTATTCGTGCTGGAAGTTGAGATATTCTTGCAAAAAAACATTGGCTGGACTAGGAGAGCCATGGAGAGTTACCAAAAGAGTTTCTTGGGTGATTCTGATCATTGTTGCAGGAAATTTGATCAGATATTGGGTGGCAACTGTGGAATGGTTACAAAAAAACATGAGTGCATTTCATGACTTTCAATATTCCTCAGCAGCAGTGGCTGGGAAAGAATATATGACTGAGAGGATCAATTTTCTCCCTGATCTATTTTTCCTGCTCATGATTTCTTTGGGGGAAGACTATAAAGCTTTGCTGAAAATATAAAGAATGCGAGACCAAAAGAAGGTTTAAAAGACATTTTGCAACAATGGTTGCTATTGGGAGACAAAGGGAGAGTCCTGGGAGACATATATGCTCCAACATGGCTGCTCCTGATAGCTAAGGCTCCTCTTCATGTTGCATTTCAGTTTGGCACAATGATCAGCCAAGGGGACAAAGAAATTGGTTTTACAAAAAGTTTCAGCTTTCTTTCACAATTTGGCTTGTTTTTGTTGGAGATTTTTTTGCTGCTGTGGTGTGGACAGTGGGTTGTAAGCCAGGTTTGTAACACTTATTTAATTACAATCTTGAATATGAAAAATAATTTGTATCTTCTGTATTTTGAAGAGCAAACATTGCATGATTTACATTTCCCAACTGAAATGTGAAAATGAAGCAGATGCAGCAGAGGTGAGAGAATGGATGGAAACAGATGGTGATGTCATGCTATTTTTTTCATACTAAGACAGCAATGAAATGCACAAAAAGCACCAATTTGATGCTAAAAGTATTGCATTCACTCTAAGTTATACATGCTCACTTTCCCATTTCAAAGAAAATTTGAATGTGCATAGTAAGTGAAAAGATAATCTTATTTTGTTGAATTGATGTACTTTTCAATCAATTTTGAAGAATCAAATTGCTTCAATCATAGGCATGAAAATAGTTTGAATGGACTTCTTTCTCCAAATTTTCATTCTTTCTATTACACGTGAATCTCATTAAAACAAAAGTCATCGTAAGAACTCAGTTGCTTATAAAATTTGTATTTTATTCTTATTTCTCAGGCAAATTTTCACAATCTTATTCGAATTTATGAGCTTGTTACTTTATCCTACATTCCTAATACATGGCTTCATTGTAATGAGGTGTTACTGTAAATCTCCTTTTTATTTGTTTATCAATTTAATGAAACACTAGATATTCCAGAATTCTTTTTTAAAAAACTGAGCCTCAAGAACACATTTGTTCTGTAATGCACAAATTTCACTGGCCTCCATATATAAAAACCAGATTATTTTTACTTTGCATCAAGGGCATGATGAGTTGAATTTTTAAAATTTTTATTTCAAAGGCTGAATGAATGCAAAAATATCCTGGTTTGCTGTCCAAAGGGAAAAAATCATGATTGAAAATGCATGTATGATTTCCTGCCACCAGATAAAGAACTTTATGATTGTTGCCAAAGCTGCAGGAGACCCCAGGATAACTTTGTGGGACTTGTGCAGCATTGATGCCAATTTAATGACAATGGTGAGTGTCAACTGGAATTTCTCTAAGCAAAAACTTTAATGTAATGCTGTAAATACTGTTTTTCCTTTTGAACATTTAATTTTTTGAATATTTGTTTCAGCTGGCATCTTTGACTTTGACATACTACATTGTTTTCATGGAGAATAACATTGGGGCTGAAATACTACCGTCCCCTCCAACCACAGAATACTTCAACAGCACACTAAGGCCCTGATTTCATTCAATGCCCTGCAAAAAAGAAAAAAACCGTGAAGATGATTGAAATAAAAAATACGGGAATTTATTTTTATTTTATTTCATAAAAAATTGTCTCCTATGAATCAGGAACTGGAGTCAAATGGACTTTCGTGCTTTTTCTTTGAAATTGATTGTTGCCATTCTAAAGCCACACCACAAGAAAAGTTCGGCTCAAACCATTTTTGAAGAAGAAGGGAACAACTTTCACCACTTGCACGTCGTATCAGGAGAATTTGCTTTAAAATTATCTCAGTCATGAAATTCTTATTTTCTTTTTCTTAGCAAATAATGCCACGAAAAACGGTTTGATTTTTCAACTGCTGCTCTAAAACATGAATCTAAAAAAAGTGAGGGCAGTTTTTTTGGAGTATTCAGCAAGATAAAGGGTGCAGGCAAATCAGAATACATGTTTTTCGAATCAATCACCTGAAAATAGGAGCCAAATGATGCGTTTACATCTGGATATTGTTAGCGCCAATTTGCAAACACAACGTGAGCACCACATTTTTGCCATCACAGCACAAAAGATACAGCATTTCAATTCTTAAAAAAGCCCATTTGTTGTGCCACAAACACCTTTGTTTTTTTTTGGGTAAATTTAATTTTGTATTTTTTTAAGGGAAAGTTCTCATCAGAGGACTCTGTAATATTCCATCTCCCTTGCTGATTCACACTTCTTGCATCCATGGTAATCTGTCATTTCTTCAAAAAATTGTCCTATTACACCAGTAAAGCCTAATTGTACCAGTTAAACCTTTGTGCTAGTGCCACCTGCCCCTTCTTTCATTACAGCTGTGTCACCAATGACAAAAACAAGTGTTGCTGCTGCAAGGGGGGTTTATGTAAGGGACAGGTGTCACTAGTTGTTCTGTCCCATCATCAAAACATAAAATGTCACGCTGGAATTCCTTTTTAGTACTATCCCACAAATTATAGTCAGTCTCATAAAAACCATTGTTGCAGTCAGAGCTAACTATTGTCCTTTTCAAGTGTAGTTTGAAATACATTCAACAGTTACTCCTTTCTAGAAGCATTACTGAAGGCTTCCCTGCCATGTTCCCCAGTGGATTGTTTGTTCTATTTGTTGTTTATTTATTGATCAATTAATTCTCTTAGTTTTTCTTTTCTTTGTGTGGCTCATGCCCCACAGACTCCCCAAGACTCATTTTTGTGCAGCCATGTGGATGAATTCTTCCCTCTAAAACAATCCAAATATATTATGAAAAATATTGATGGAAGATGCATATATGCTTGAAAATGACCTGATTGACCAGAAGCTGTCCATCAAAAGAAAATCCAATGATGAACAACACCTTAATTGTGACAATAGCCACAGCCACTGCAAAGATTGTTGCAGACAATCACTGGCAAGCAGCATTCAGCATTTGTAAGTAATATGCCGCATTAAAGGAAACTTCCATGATGACCCATACAGTTGATACTGAAGAAATGAATGTAGAATGTATCACAGTAGAAATTGATGTTTTCATCTGTGCATAAACAGGATGAGTAGAACTGGGTCTCTTCTGTCACCAATACTCTCAAAAGATTGGCCATTGTGATGCAAAATCAGATGATGGCAAAAAGAATAGAGCATTCCCTCTTTCTGACCACTGGCAAAAAACTGGAGCCATTGGTCAGATGCTTCCTGAGTTTCCATGAAGAGTGTATCATGCATACCATAGACAAAATGGCATGTGCATGAACAAATATGGTGTAAGCATTAAGCAAATATATACCAACAACCTTCTTCCCAATGGCATCATACTGAGTGTCATTGCCTCCTCAATGAACTTGGAAACAATCATCAAAAGCTTTACTGTGTTTACCAATACAAAATACAAGAAAAACACGTTATTCTTCCCTTTCCACTCTTTCCAAGGATTGAAGGCAAAGGTATTGATCCCTCCAGCACCAAAATATATGTGAAATGGCTGAAATTGTCCAGAAAACGGAGTCTTTATTGTACTTTGTCATTGTTTCCCAAACTGAGAAACTGTTTCACTCTGGTCTGCTCCATGTTTTGTGCAGTGAATGTTGCTTGTGTTCCACAAAGTCATCAGTTTGACCTGACTCCAATATTGGATTGCATCAGAACAATGTACAAGGTAATGACAAGCATGGTCATCTATTAGGAGATGATCAATGAAAAGCAATGAATGAAGGCATATCCTGGCATATTTGAAGTATGACTCACAGTTGTCATAAGGGTGGCATTGGTTGGACAGAACCCACCTATATTAATAATTGAGGATTCTCTTTCTCCAACAGAAACTAGGAACTTTAAATCCTGTAAGAAAATGTTTTAAGCACAGTTGCTGCTTCAGAAATTGTAAATTAAAATTGCTACCTCAACCTGGAAGGTAGGATCAAGTGATGCCTTTTTTGCAGCAATGTAGATGAATTCTTCACTCTGAAACAATGCAAATATATTATGAAAGATATTGATGGAAGATGCATGCTTGAAAATGACCTGACTGACTAAAAGTTGTCCAGCAAAAGAAAACCCAATGATGAAAAAAACCTTAATTGTGACAATAGCCACAGCCACCCCAAAGGTTGTTGTAGACACACTTCCACTTGCAACACTCATCATTTGAAAGTAATATGCCAAATTCAAAGGAACATCCATGTACACACATGTACATCCATGTACACACATGTACATCCATGTACACACATGTACATCCATGTACACACATGTACATCCATGTACACACATGTACATCCATGTACACACATGTACATCCATGTACACACATGTACATCCATGTACACACATGTACATCCATGTACACACATGTACATCCATGTACACACATGTACATCCATGTACACACATGTACATCCATGTACACACATGTACATCCATGTACACACATGTACATCCATGTACACACATGTACATCCATGTACATCCATGTACATCCATGTACACACATGTACATCCATGTACACACATGTACATCCATGTACACACATGTACATCCATGTACACACTAGAATTCCTCTCGCAAGAAGAAACTGAACCCGTAAACCTTCTTAAAACTGAACTCCGAAAAATTGCATTCCTTCATCCTAAAAATTTCAGAGAAAACTGGACCTCTCTTTGTCCCACTCAAAAACACGTATTGTCAATTGCGTTTCCAGACCCTCCTCAAACTGAAACTAGCGTCATTAACCCTAATGACTCTAACCAAACTACCCCTCAAAGGGAAAACGTAGTTTCTGCCGAAGCTGGTTTAATGATCTCTCACATTTATGAATCTACTGATGCATCTGGATCTACTCTCGGAACATCCTCTTTGGATCACGACGGTGAAAATAGAAGCATTGAACCTCAATCAAACTCCAAAAATCAAGAATCTCTAAACAAGCTTTTTCCACTTGACAAAAACTACATTGAAAGCCAGGTAAAACTATATGGGCAAGGAAAATCGATATGCATAAATACTAATTCCAAAGGCTTCATACAGAACTATACTCAAAAGGTCATGAAAAATTTCAGAACTTTTAAAATGAACTCCAAACTTAACAACAACTTTGATAGGGTCTGGAACAAATTCAGGAAAATTCATGAAGCTCCTACCGAGGAATTCACTCCATCTGAACAACGAGATCTCCTGCTCCTTCATTTTGAAGACGAAATCCTAACTGTAATTAACGGGCTTCATAAGAAAGAGGGTGAAAACAACTACCTTGATTTGGTACGAATGTTATTTACCAAATTTGGAAATGTAAATCAAATCACCCAACAAATCTATAATAACATTGAAGAACTAAGCCCGGCAAACGACTCTAAACGAGCCATATCTCAATACATGGGCAAAATAGTGAACTATGTGGCCAAACTAACTGTCTTAACGCAAAACATATTTAATATTCACAATCGCATATGGCCCAGCGTTCATTACGTACTTGATCAAGGAAATTTTTATGAGATCCTCAAAGGACAAATCACTCCATCTCTCCAATCTGAATGGGAGACAGACCCAGAGAAAATTTACCAATGGTACTGGAAACAACTAAACACCGGAACGTTCAGAAAGCCTAAAGACAAACTGGTTACTATCTACAAAACATCAATTAACTCAAAACAGGTTCAAAATTTTAGCAAAAATGTTGAAACAAACCAACCAGTCACTAACAACCATGGAATATTTACGGTCACTGACCGACAGCAAATTCAAACTCACCAACATCTTCCACAACCAAAACAAGAAGTTCAGACAAACAATGTCAAACAAGAAAACAGCGTTGTTCAGAGTCCATATCTTCCCAGTCATCAGCAAAACAGTAATCAACAACAAAATCAAAGCTACAACTCAACTCAAGGACAACATCAAAACCAGGGGTACAACCAAAATCAGAATTTTAATCAGAATCAAAACTTTTGGCAAAACCAAAACTACCAGCAAAACCAAAACTTCTACCAGAGACAAAATTTCAACTCTAATCCTCAAAGGAACAACTTCCGACAAGGAGACAATAACGTTGTTGTTAGAAAGTTTCCCCCTCCCAGCTGCAACTATTGTGGAGAAGGTCACTCTCCCATTCAATGCACAAAGACCTTGGAGGAAAAGAAAAGAATCATTACTGAAAAGAAGCTCTGTTGGAACTGTCTCAAGAGCGGACACAGAAACTCCTTCTGTCGGAGCAGGTTCAGATGCTTCTATTGTAACAAAGATCATCACTCTACAACTTGCAAATTCTTTAAACCTATGGATACTAGACAAACCCCTGCTCCCTCTACGTCAGTTCCTAACCCTAATTTTCCAGTCAACCATGACCTCAATGAAATTTTGACGAAACTCATCAACGATAAGGTAAATGAAATCAAAACTGCCCCTCAAGAAAACTCTTCAGTTACTAAGTCTGAAAATCCAGCAGCCTCTACTTCATCGTCCTGACTAGAACCCAAACCACACATTCAGATTAATTCAACCAGAGGAAGGTATCCAAATTCCTTTGTAGAAACGGCAGAGTTTCTAGAAGTCGAGTCTCATGAACCGATCTTTGCCTTATTAGACTCAGGAGCTCAAATCA